ACTTTGAATAAAATGTTTTTTACTTTCCTGTTAATAATTAGTGTTCTATTTTCACCAAAAAAACGCTCATTTCATACCGGTACACCTGGTATTTAAGTAAAAGAAGTTTTAGTTTAAGATATAAAGACTTTGCTTCAGAACCTTGTTCTATCAGAATAGGAATTCCATAAGGAAGTGTAGTAGGTCCGCTATTATACCTACTGTATACAAGTGATATGCCAACTTCGGAAAACACTTTAACTGCAACATTTGCTGACAATACAGCAATAGTAAGTGCACACAAAAACCCCGCAATGGCACAACGCATGCTTCAAGATCATGTTCACCAACTCGAGCAATGGTTATCAGTATGGCGTATCAAAGTCAATGAACAAAAATGTACCCATGTAAAATTTGCTCTAAGACCAAGAAACTGTCCCAATATTACAATAAATGAGCAAAAAGTACCTTCGAGCGACTATTTAAAATATTTAGGGATACACCTAGATACAGATTTAACTTGGAATAAATACATAGGGGCTAAAAAGACACAAATAAATATAAAATTAAGTTCATTGCATTGGCTTATGGGCACATCATCTAAGCTACCACTTGAATACAAAATTCTGCTGTACAAGTAGCTAATAAAACCTATATGGAGTTACGGAATTCAACTGTGAGAAACAGCAATGCCATCAAATATTGAAAAACTGCAAAGGCTAAAATCTAAAACTCTAAGAATGATAACAGGTGCACCGTGGTTTATGAAAAATGCTAACCTTCATAGAGATTTGAGCGTGCCAACAGTAATAGAAGAAGCTGCTCGATGTAGTCGTCAGCACCTCTTAAAAAAAAATTAAACACAATTATATGCAAAAGTAGCAATTTTTGAAGCAGAAAAAGTCTACGGATATTTGAGTAAAAATTAAAAAAGTTATGCGTAATTTAAAAAAAATTTTGTAAATATCCGTAGACTTTTTCTACTATGTGTATATATTTATTTAAAATCAAACACAGCACAGAAGTTGTAGTAAAGTAAAATATTTAGAAATCAGGATTTGGGATTTTAATTTTTTTTTTTGTTTTTAGTAAAAATAGATTTCAATTTATCGAAGCTTTATAGTGATCATCAGTTATAGTATCATTCGTTTGCAAATAAAAATTCAGAAATTCAAAATTCAAAAGTCTTCTACTTCATTCTTGGAAGGCTTATGAACAAATTCGTCCACCGAACCCTCATCATCACTTTCCGTTGCGCTTAGAATCGAATCCAGTAATCCAGAGTTATAATGCTTAATAATATCGTCATCTGTAGGAAAGCTTCATTAACAAATTTTATTGTCGAACATAATATAATCGTTAAGAGCATCATTGAAAGCTGTTTTATTTACTTTAAACCACACTTTATAGTTATGTTCCACCAATTCACGGTCTTTCTTGAATAACATTGATGATGAATAGATTGGAGTAATTTTGCTGTCATAGCTGGAATTATATTAGCCCATTCGTCCATTAAAATCTGTTTAATCTGTTGTTTTTTTGAAAAGCTGTGTTTTCTTAATTTGGACTCCAAATGACCCCAAAGATGTTCTATTGGGTTTAAGTTTGAACTCTGCGGAGGCGTTTTTATCACTTTTCGGTGGTTATATGATAACCAAAGCTTAGTGTTTAACGCAGAATGCTTTGTATCATTATCCTTATAGAACTGAAAATCATTCCCAATGCCCAGTTTTTCTGCATTTTACCTCAAGTTTTTCTTTAATATATCGATATATAACTTATGATCCATTATTCCACTTATTACTTCGATATTTCACACACCAGATGTCACCATACATCTGCAAATCATAACACCGCCACCACCATGTTTAACAGTAGAAACTGTATTGCGTTCTTGCACCTCCGTATTTTGTTTTCTATACACAATTACATTGCTATCGCACCCAATAAGGTTGAATTTACTCTTATCAGCAAAAATTATATTGTACCAAAACAATTCTGGCTCTTTTACATAAGTTTTTGCAAATTGTAGCTATTTGATTCTATTAATTTTGTTTACACATGATATCTTTCGTGAAGTTCTTCCTCTACAACCATTAATTTAAGCAAATTGCGAATAGTTTGTGGTGTGACCTCTTTTCCCAAATATTTCTGAACATTATTACAAAAAATTATTGCATTTGCTTTGGAATTTTTTTGAACTTGGCGTACTAACCACCGCTCATCCACTTTGGAAAGTGCTTTAAAACGACGGGATCTTTGATTGTTTTCGACCAATTTTGTTTCTTTTCATTTTTTATAATGTAATGAATGGTAGTTCTTAGTCTATTTACTATTTCACCAATTTCAATCCATTTCTATAATGTTTAATTACAAGTACTTTAACTCTATCAGAAACTTTTCTTCCTTTACGAGCCATTTTGGAAATATTAAGATATTACTACACAAAACACTTTATAATAAGGAGCCAAACGCTGCTTTCTTCATAGAAAATAAAAAAAATGGGTTTTCCCCATTTTTGTTTACCAAAATTACAAGCTTAATGCATAAATAACGAATACTTTTTTTGCTTAATTTTTGGTATTTCGCAATAGAATTGCTTTTTTTGTTATTTAATTTTTAAATTTTTGGAGTAAACACAATTACAACAAATGAACAGAATACAAACGTTGAAAACTGCATTATTATTTTTTAATTCTTTTGTTTCGTTTTGTTGTTATTACAGCATTTTATAAAATTTTAGTTAATGATGAATACTTTTTTTGGCCGCTGTATATTAATGAAATAGACAAACAAAAACACGAAAGGCAAAAGAAACATACGTATAAAAACAATTGTGGATAGAGTCACAATCATACCAGTTGTGACTCGATCGAACAATATTGCATGGGGTTGGGTGGATTTATTATAAATCCACTAGCAAAATAAAGTGGGTATTTCGTTTGTATGAGCATAGCGCTTCTTTGTACTCTAGATTATTTGGTTTTATTTTTTATTGTTATACAAAATGTAATTTGCTTGCATTATGTGCACATATGCAAGATTTGCTATTTGCCAAAACGTAACATTTGATAGATTGCAACAGTGATGCCAATGTCTCGCTTAGCGCCTATAAGCTGTTTTTTGCCACACTTTCGAGCCATCGAAGGCACCTGTTGTTAATTTAAAATCGCTATATTAACTGGACAAAAACAGTGTTAAAGTTCAATATGCTTGCTGTACCAATAATTATGTTTATCACAATACATAGAAAGTGTAAACTTTATTATAAACTATTTTATTATTTATGCTGTTATATTAAGCTGCATGTTTAATTTTCTGAAAAATATTATTGTAAAAAGGACTTTAGCATTATAAACGCCTTCAACTGTTTATTTCGTCTAGTTTGTTGGGCGTATAAGTTTATTTAGTTTAGAATAGTAAGATTCAATTGCATGATCCATGTCAACAGTTGGTATATAAACTTGATTAATATTGAGTTTAATTGGCAATTAAACAGTTAAAATAACTAACTCTTTCAAATAATGGGAAAGAGTAATCTAACCAACCTATAATGTTTCTGTTTTGGTTGCCACAGAAATATACTTACGTATATTATCGGAACAAATTCTCTACAATCGGACCACCTTATTTCAACTATACCAAGCATTTTCTTTTCTAAAATTATTTCAGCTAAGAGAAATAATGTATATGACTAACAAAAAAATTAACTACAGCGGGTTCCCCAACCTTTTGGTTCACACTAAAAAAACAAGACGGTATACTGCATATAAATAAAGATTTATTTACAAGCTTTTTACAATAGGATATGAGATATGTTAAAATGAGGCTGTTACGTGGTTCTTCAAACCAAGATGTACTTTAATATATGATATAGTAAACCCATTAAAATTATTGACACCAATAAAAATAAGAAAATGGAAAATACTTTTAAAAGATTAAAAATTGAAAATACTGAATGAAGCAAAGTGGTCTTCATCAGGACATAATCAACAAGATGGTACAAGATTTTATTACTCAATAATTGGCATATAGAAATAGATATAGAAAAGGTGTTGGAATAATAGTATTGGATAAATATTACAATAATGTTAAAAGACGATACCATTTTCTGATAAGGTAATACTGTTTAAATTCAAAAGAAAATATTGTAATCTAAACACCATACAAATTTACGCACTAAATGCCAATAGTTAGGTTAAACCAGCGATCCCAAGGGGATCCACTTAGGCCCATAGGCCCATTGTGATAAATGCCAATAGTACTGACATTGAAATAAAAAACGTTAATACAAAAGGAAAAAGTGTGATCAAATTGGCAAAAAATCAAGATATATATTTAATATTGGCGAATTACATGCAAAATTGGGCACCGATAAAACAATTGAATTAACTAGCTAGTTTGAATTAGGGTTAGGAAACGAACACGCCAACATACTAAATTTACTTTCCCAAGGGGAGGATTCAATATTTATATTAAATTACACTGAAAAAAGCTTTACACATGGTAATCACCACAAAACAAACATTGCAATATAATAAGTAACCGAAGTGGTTTCATTCTTAGACATAGATTTAAGCCATTTATTATATAGTACAAATGTATTGAAATGAAAGGACGCAGAGAGATCACTATATATAACCATATTGGCTAAGAAGTAGAAAAAACTGTGCTAGATTAAGGACAATAGAAAAATTAAATGAAGAAGCAAAATGCAGAAAAACTCAAAAGAAATTATTAGCAACCTGAGGTAACAAAAAATACAAAATATTCGTATAAATAAATACGAAATATTCGTATATATTTACGAATAAATAATAATCGCAGATATCCATAATTTTATTTACAGCCAAAGAAGAAACCCAGCTACCGGTTTGCGTCGCTATTGTTGTGCTTTTTTACTCTTAACCCATACTAAGTAAGAATTACCATAAAAAATAAGGAATAGGTGAACTGATCTATATTCTTCGGGTAAATTATATTGTAATCAAGTATAAAACTACAAATTTAAATTCACTTACCAATTTTTCGTATAATTCTGTATTTCCCACCAACAATTATTTCGGAACGGTTATCTTTCATAAGCCTTAGTTTTTCCATTTTGTATACAATGAATTGCGACAAAAAAAATAGATTTCGTAGAGACCGATCTTTTTTGTTTGGATAGTTACAATATCAGCGCAAAAGAATATCTGCGTATAAATTTATAAAAATAATTAATAAATTAAAAGTTTTTATTAATAAAAGGCTTAAGAATAACATATAGTGTAAAATAAAAATTCTTGTGACAAGGATTGAAATAAACTGTAGAGAATCTTACATCAAATATACATATATATATATATATATATATATAAATTCACATTTCTATTTTAATAATAAGCTTTCTCAATTTAACCTAAATTATTTTAATTTAAACACGCTTGACGTTTGTAAATAGAAAAAAGCTGATTAAAACAAATTTATTATAATTTTTTATATAGATGCGAATGTTAAAAAATATACAAGTAAAATCAAAGGTGAAAACTTGTTTGTTATGTAGTATATAAGCACTTTATGTATCTGCATTTCATCTTACCAAATGCTGAGTTGAAATGAACCTTTATAATTTTTTAGCTGTACTAAAATTTTCTTAGTTGTATTTTAATATATCAGGAAATCGTTAAAAAATTTCATAGCATTTTATTATATTTTATCACAAGACAAATTATGAAAAATCGCCACTTTCAGAAAACCACTTCACGTATTTTTAACAAAACCCGACTACTTTATCTCTAAATGATTGCTTCAACAGAAGGAAGAATGCCATATTGTTTACTTTTTTACAAATTATATAAATGCTACCAATCCATCACATATTATGTCGCAACTTTGTACTCACACGGCGATTGCAAATAATTTCAAAGCAACTGTTTTAAATAACTTTCATAATTCCAAAATTTATTAATTTAAATTAAATTATTTAATTTACTTATAATTTGAGTACATAAAAAGGCGCTTAAATATTACGTTCGTGAACACATGTGAAGTAGTAGGAATTCTTTTAATAAGTTTTGGTAAGTTTAAATTTGGTAAACGTCACATTTGACATTCTGAAGCAAATTTATTATAAAAATTATATTATATATATACGAGATTTAACACAAATGCATGCTTATAAAACTATTTTTTCCCATCTTATGTTAATTATATTACCATTACAAATAATAAAACTACCAATAATAATTATGATTTGGTAGCAATCAATGCTATGATTTTGGTTCCTATTGTTTAAAATTAGACTTTTGTTTCAATTCACCTCAATACGAGTTCGAGTAAATTGTAGTAAATTGAGGGAAGTAATAAATTATGTCGGTATGGCAGCGAATGTTGGTATTTACCGGAATTTCGAGTAGGGTAAATTAGACAAAAATTAAGTAAATTAGATTTCACTATATTAGGTGTTGTGAAAATTTTATAAGATGTTTTATAAATAAATAAATAAATTTGAAAACTTTTAACCAAATGTAATAAATAAGTCCAATAAATATTTACATAAGTGCAGTGCAAAAAATCCCTATGTAATTTCAATTTACTTTATGGTAATTTACTCGAACACGCACACGGCCTGAATATATAAAGAATTACATGTAATTTTTTTTCCCTGCACTTAAAGGTAAACTGCAATTAGTCCGTACGTAAGTAGCTGATTTTATTTACATTTGAAAAAGTAAACAGTGACATTATATATTCTATAGGCCTTTTCTTTTATAAGCATATCACAAAAGAACAAGTGCTTATTTTCAAAATTATACATGAAACAACAATACTGTTGGTTTATTTAGTCCAACCTTTTTGAAACCGATTAACTAATAAGCAGTTCAAATCGCTTATTAATAATTTTGTTAATTATTCGAATTTCGTTTCGTCATTGTTCGCAACAAATGCGTTATATTTTCTATTAATTTTTTTACTGTTTTTCTATAATATTTATTATTTTACTGTTAAAAGGCATAAAAATTTTTATTTTATATATAATCATGTATAAAAAATATTCTCACCAATAATTGCAAAGAATTACTATTCATTTTCGAAATTTCAACTTTAAATTTTATTACGTGTCTTGCACATAAAAACCTAACAAAATCGCCATTTTGTTCAGAGTTGCCATCAAACCTAGTGCTTATTTTATTTGTTCTTTTGCAACATGCTTACAAAAGAAAACATATTATTTTCACACTGAAACATTTATTTGAAATATTCTTCTGAACATATTGCCTTCGTATAGAACGCGAAATCAAAAGCACGAGTTTTGTATGCTTTCCTATACTCATATCTACAATATTGCTTATCTTACTATCATTGTTATTGTATTTTTAATTTTTAAATTACAATTTAAATATATTTTTATTATTATTTTTATTATTATAATTATTTAGTATTAATCTTCTATATTTAGGACGTGTGCGAGTTAGGCTAAGTTGCATTCTAAATGAGGGAAATTCTAAGTTGTGTCGATAATGTAGTGACCTGTCGATACGTGTTGATAAATGGCTAAGTGTGTGCAGTGCAAAAAATCCCAAAAAATTTCCCATTTGATTTAGCCTAACTTGATGCTAAACCAATTGGGAGTGTGCGAGTTACATTTTGACAGCTTATATCAGCTGTGAGTATGTTTTGATTTCAGAATTTTGTTTACATATTTTGCAATAGCGGAGCAAATTGATGAAGCATTTTTATTTATGGAATTTTTCGAATTAATTAAATAATCGTTGTGACATATTGATAAAGAGATTCTTAGAAGAATATCCAAAGGTAATTATAAAATAATTTCAGTAAATACCATAAATTATCAGTTTGACTAGCGAGCTTTTATGCCAAAAGGGATATTCTTGCGAAATATTTAGAGCTGTTGTAAAAAAGGATAATTCCATAATAAAAAAAGTGAAATTCTGTCACCAAATGAAGAAACCCGTTTAGATATTCTCAAAACTCATTTGTGTTTTTATATTAACTTGACCCGCTGTATTAATTTGCGTAAAATAGCTGAAATTATATCGGGAACTTCTGGTGCAGAAGCTAAAGGCTTTTGTATAGAAGCTGATATGTAAGCATTGCGTGAGCGTCGTGTGCATGTTACTTAAGAAGATTTTGAAATGGCTGTTACTAAAGTTATGCAGAAGGATTCAGAGACGAACATGTCTATTAAGAAATTATGGAAGTAAATTTTAAGACTTTTATATATTTATACAATCATATATTTATACAATTTATATATCATGAAATGATTATTGATTTGTAATTGAATTATTTCTTGGATCTTCACAATTAAAAGTTAAAAACTAAATATAACATTTAAGTTTTTTGTATTTGCTAATTTTTTGTAAGAAACGCAAAATTATTATTTTTTGTTTTTACTATTAAAAGTGGATTAAAAGCGTTGTGTATGAGATTGAGTGTTGGTTTCTAATATTTTGGTCTTATTACGACATATTTTATTACAGTTGTAGATGATTTTAGTTTATTTAAAAAATGTTTTGTCTTTTTTAAATTTTTAAAACCTCTTGAGTTGCGTTTTCGAAATAAAAAATTTCATAACATGCCACAGTACAGTAAAAATCTATGGAATTATTGAGTTTGTCTCGGACTTCATCATCAACTAACCATTGTCACTAAAAACTTCAGTGGAAGTTTTGCCGTTCGCAAGAAAAAAAGGTCAAGTAAGATCCAATAAATCAAAGGACTTATCTCGGCTTCAACAACAAAATGTTTGCAAAAGTTGCATAAATTAGAACAGTGATTTTCGACTCAAGACATGCTGTAGCTTAAAAAAATATTCAATGTATTTTACAAACAAATTATTAAAAGCAACTGGTGCAAAGAGTGCCACCAGTCCTAATGATACCCTTATGTTGAAGTTATTTAGGCCACCATCATTTAGAGTCTTTGTCACAAAGTAAACTTAAATCTAGCCAGGTTTATATATAAAAAATTCAGAAAATAAATATGTTGAATAAATTAAATTTTATTTTATTTATTAATGAAGTACTAAAACCGTATTTACAATCATTACAAGATCTGAATTAAAAGGTAAATCAAAAATTATATTTGTTATGAAGACAACAGCATACGAATATTATTATTATCAGTAACATCCTAACATGTTTGATCATTTCTTTCAATTAGTTTGCTATTTGCATTAAATAATAGTAAGAACGTACACAATCAAAGTGACCACATTGCAAAACTTGCAAGATTGGCTTCTTTGACAAAGTTAAAAACATCTTTTTCATGTTCAACTTTTTATACTACATCATTTGGCGATAGCTCAGTGAAATAAACTACCCAATTAAAGCCAGGTTCACATTTCTGTGCATTTTTTAACTTTGGCTGCCAAAGGAGATCAAGTTGTTTTACCTTTTCAATAGGGGTATTCAGGCAACTGATTAGTTGCTTAGTAGTTGATTACAACAAAAATTTGCACACAAAAATGAAACTAAGCAGAGAATCAACTATTTCGGTGATTCTCAGATTAGTACAAATTTGATTAATAGTGCTGCCAGTACCAAGTGTCGTAATGTAAGGACAGAATTATGTACAAATTTCCGCCCTACATAAACTTATCATTTTTACTAAAAATCGTCTGCATAAAAATCTATTTATATATTATAAACAAAGAAGCAGCGGACATCCACACGCACAGCCAGCACAGCAGAGCCAGCAGCGAACATCCACACGCACAGTCAGCACAGCAGAGCCAGCAGCGAACATCCACGCGCACAGCCAGCACAAGTCAAGCCAAGCTCACGGCAGAGCCGTTACCTCGCGAAGAAATGCATTATTTGTTTATGCACGCGGAATTACACTTGTGCGGTTGTGCGTTCAAATAATAAAGTGAGAATAATTGCATATAAATTTTTTTTTTTTTTTTTTTAAACTAGGGGAATTTGTAGATCTCGGTGTATACTTTCATTCCTAATATACCATGCGGCACCAGTGATAATTTTTAGTATTTTTGACTGAGCTCTTTGTATAATTTCAATATTTGAAGCACTAGCATTGCCAAATAGCTGGATACCATAAGTCCATATTGGTTTTATGATGCTGTTATACAAGAATACTTTATACTCTAGGCACAGGGAAGATCTGCTATTAATGAGCCAATGCAACTTAGAGGCTTGAAGCTTCATCTGAATTTTTTGGCTTCAATATGTTTGCGAAAAGTTAGTCGTCTGTCTAGGTGGATACCTAAGTACGTTATATTATCTGCTTGTGGTATGGGAATGTTGTTTAGTAAAATTGTTGGAGATGTACTCCGATTTAAGGTGAAAATGACGTGTCTACATTTTAGTTCGTTAATTTTAATTCGCCATTTTGACAACCATTTCTCCACCCGATATAAGTGAGATTGAAGTTGGTTTGAAGCTAGCACAGCGTTTCTGTTTCGGCATAAAATTGCCATATCATCGGCAAACGTTGTGGTGATAACTGAACTACTTATCGGGATATCAGATGTGTAAAGTACATACAATATAGGGCCAAGAACACTTCCTTGTGGAACGCCAGCTTCTATTGGGAAATTATTAGAAGTATAAGATTTGCATTTCACTTTAAAGCTTCTATTATGCAGATGCGATTCTAAAACTGAGTGGACATTTGCAGGTAATGAACAGCGTATCTTATATATGAGTCCATTATGCCATACTTTATCAAATGCTTGTCTAACATCCAGGAGTACCGCGGAACAATATTCTCTGAGCTCAAATGCGTGTCTTATTTCATTCGTTATATGATTCACTTGCTCAATAGTTCCATGTTTTTCCCTAAAACCAAACTGGTGGGAC